ATTATGTGCAGCCCCAGCGGAAGTGGTGCTTGGTGAACTTAGTGCCTCTGCCTGGGCTAGTTTAGGAGGCCATACTTCCAAGCTGCTCCTACTCCCATACACACAACACTGGTCTAATGAAATCAACATGCACAGGCCAGGTCCCTAAGGTCAGCACTTGCTCTGAGCCTCTCCCCATCCAACACACACACAAACACACGCCAGGTAGGCAGGTAGGCAGGCAGGCAGGCACACACACACACACACACACACACAAGGTTACTAAAGGAAACAGAAAGTAGAAAGAGAAGCTCAGTCCTAATTGGGAGAAGAGCTCAGACCGACTCAGAATCTAGGGCCAGATAAATAAATTAGCAGTGTGGACATCTGTCTTCATTTCTATAATGGATAATATCTGAAGGCATAGAGGGACTGGAGAGAGAGACTTGGGTTGATTACCGGGACGTCTGCCAATGGTGACATTCTTGTTGCCTCCACACTGTCTTGGGAAATGTGGGGAGAGCTTAAAGTTCTGGAGGACCCATCTCCATTTGATCTCTAGTTAAGATCAGCTAAACTGGCTGCAGCCTGAATGGAGAACTAGATAGAGGGAGGCCAAGATATATTTAGGCGTGGGTATGTTTTCACCACACACAACTCTGAGACCCAGCATGACTTTACAATAATTGCTATCAGCGAAGCAATGGCCGAAATACATTCTCCTCGCATTCAGTTTCACTACTACTAACTACTCTCCCTTTCCTCTAAGTAATATTACTGACCTCAACTCAAATTAGATGCTGTTAGTTGTCCAACGTTAAACCTGATATTCTAAACTAGGGTTTTGAGGTTGTTCTGTACACATCATAGTCTTGCATGGTTAACTCCACCTCTCCTCAGGCACAGGCAGCCAGATGTGTCCCAGTGCTGCTTGGACATCTGCTGTCCTGTCCTCATGTTCTCTAGTGCCATGTCATGTCACAGCTCCTCAGCATAGAAACAGAAGCACTAGATTCTATTTCATATAATAACATCTGCTGTCCTGTCCTCGTGTTCTGGAGTGCCATGTCATAGGTCCTCAGGAGTTACTAGATTCTAGATTATATTTCTATGATAGCAGATTTGTCTCTGAGGCCATAAATATCCATTGACATGCGTATACAGACACTGCACTCGTCATGTAATATACACTGAACAAAAATATGAATGCAACATGCAACAATTTCAAAGATTTTACTGAGTTACAGTTTATATAAGGAAATCAGTCAATTGAAATACATTCATTTGGCCCTAATCTATGGATTTCACATGACTGGGAATACAGATATGCATCTGTTGGTCACTGATAACAAAATAAAAAAGGTAGGGGCGTGGATCAGAAAACCAGTCAGTATCTGGTGACCACCATTTGCCTCATGCAGCGCGACACATCTCCTTCACATAGAGTTGATCAAGCTGTTGATTGTGGCTTGTGGAATATTGTCCCACACCTCTTCAATGGCTGTGCGAAGTTGCTGGATATTGGCGGGAACTGGAACACGCTGTCATACACGTCGATCCAGAGTCAATGGGTAACATGTTTGGTGAGAATGCAGGCCGTGGAAGAACTGGGACATTTTCAGCTTCCAGGAATTGTGTACAGATCCTTGCGACACGGGGCCGTGCATTATCATGCTGAAACATGAGGTGATGGCGGCGGATGAATGGCACGACAATGGGCCTCAGGATCTCGTCACGGTATCTCTGTGCATTCAAATTGCCATCGATAAAATGAAATTGTGTTTGTTGTCCATAGCTTATGCCTGCCCATACCATAATCCCACCACCACCATGGGGCACTCTGTTCACAGCGTTGACATCAGCAAAACGCTCACCCACACGACGCCATACACGCTGTCTGCCATCTGCCTGGTACAGTTGAAACCAGGATTCACCCGTGAAGAGCACATTTCTCCAGCATGCCAGTGGCCATCGAAGGTGAACATTTGTCCACTGAAGTCGGTTACGACGCCGAACTGCAGTCAGGTCAAGACCCTGGTGAGGATGACGAGCACACAGATGAGCATCCCTCAGACGGTTTCTGACAGTTTGTGTAGAAATTCTTCGGTTGTGCAAACCCCAGTCTCATCAGCTGTCCGGGTGGCTGGTCTCAGATGATCTCGCAGGTGAAGAAGCCGGATGTGGAGGTCCTGGGCTGGCCTGGTTACACGTGGTCTGCGGTTGTGAGGCCTGTTGGACGTACTGACATATTCTCGATAAAAACAACATTGGAGGCGGCTTATGGTAGAGAAATTTAATTTAAATTCTCTGGCAACAACTCTGGTGGACATTCATGCAGTCAGCATGCCAATTGCAGGCTCCCTCAAAACATGAGACATCTGTGACAAAACTGCACATTTTAGAGTGACCTTTTATTGTATCCCAACACAAGGTGCACCTATGTAATGATCATGCTGTTTAATCAGCTTCTTGATATGCCACACCTGTCAGGTGGATGGATTATCTTGGCAAAATATAAATGCTCACTAACTGGGATGTGAACACATTTGTGCACAACATTTGAGAGAAATAAGCTTTTTGTGTGTATTGAACATTTCTGGGATCTTTTATTTCAGCTCATGAAACATGGGACCAACAGTCTACATATTTTTGGTTCAGTGTATAGGACTATGCTAAATTTCAGAGCTTTTTGTGTTGTGGCAGAATAAAGAGAAGTGATTATACTAAAAGTTTTCTACTGCCTTGCTGCTCTTTGACTTTATGATCTAGCACACTCATAGGGAGGCCTTGCTCCATCTCCGCATTTAATCAATACACTACAATAGAATGCATGGTATTCACCGTAACATTAACATATATACTGTACATTTCTGCTGTGCTACAGTGTTAGTATGGCGTTAGATTGCCTCGGCACACATACATAGGCAAGGCGACACATTTGCAATTCAACTGAGTGCATTTCCCAAAGTAATCTTTCCCTCTCGCAGAGGACAGCGTGATTATTCTCCCCACCTCATTCCAGAGATTATTCCTTTATGACGGCGAGTGGAGATGTGCGAAGCAGGGAGGGGTTAGGGACGAAGCCTGAATAACTTGCATAGGAACGAGAACTCAATTATATTGTTTGCCGTTGACTGGCAGTACATCAGATAGCCCCTGAAGCAGTGCTACAGGTAAGCTGTATCTTTTTGAAAATGGGCCCGCTATCTCGGCATAGCTATCGCAATAAACAAGCACGCCTGTCCCTGTCCCCCAAACTCAGACATGCCACTGAAGGCTGTGGGATGCTTCAGAGCGGCCTCAGCTTCTACCTCTACCTCTACCTCCCCCTCTACCTCCCCCTCTACCTCCCCCCCCTCTACCCACCATCTAACTACCGCTACGACCAACCTATCCCTCACCACTCAACCCACCCCACCGATAACCTAACCGCTACCTGCCCCTACAACCTACCTACCTACCCCCTACTACTCAGACCCTACCCACCGACTACCCCCAACCTCTACCTACGACCACCTCTAGCCAACCCACACCTCTACGCACCCCGACTCTACCCACCCCACCTCAACCTCTAACCCTACCTCTAGACCTCTACCTCACCTCCCGCCTACTACCGCTACTCCCCCTGACCTCAGCCACGTACACCGCCCCCTCTAACCTCTACCTACCTACCCACCTCACCTCTACCTCCCCTACCTCCCCTCACCTGCTCCGCTCACCTCTAGACCACCCTCTACCTCCCACCTCTACCCTACCCCCACTCTACCTGCACTCTACTACCTTCCCGTATACCCCCTCTACCCACCTCACTCTACCTCACCTCTACCTCTACCTCCCCACTACTACTCACACACTCCCCCCTACCTACCCTACCTCTAACTCTAACCCATCACCTCTACACTCCTCTCTACCTCCCACCTCATACCTCTACTCTACCTCTACCCCCCCTCTACCTCTACCTCTACCATCCACCTCTACCTCCACCTACCTTCCCCTCTACCTCTACCTCTACCTCTACCGCTACCTCCCTCGACCTCTAACTCTACCTTCCCTCTACACCTTCCCCTCACCTCTACCTCTACCCTCCCCCTCACTATACCTTCCCTCTACCTCTACTCCCTCTACCTCTACTCCCTCTACCTCTACTCCCTCTACCTCCACCTCTACCTCTACCTTACCCCCCTACCTCTCCCTCTACCTCTACCCCCTCTACCTCCCCTTCCCCTCTAACTCTACCTCCCCCTCTACCTCTCCTCCCTTCCCCATTCCCTCTTTTAATAAGCAAACAGCAACATGTATCGGGTTAATTTTTCGTTTATTTTCGCTTCTCGGCAGTAGATCAAAATCTCAGCGACGGCGCCAGTGGAGTTTTCAAGCGGCTCCGCTCTTTGCTATGAATACCAGTGTAAATGTTTGTAATGTCAGTAAGGTGAAAGGGTATCACTATGCGCTGTGACACTGATGTTGACACCCTAACTTAACTGATGAAGCCTTCATGTGTGTTTATTAATAGTTCTATCCATGGGAAAGACTTCCTGTAGTTCGCAGCAATAGTATAGCCCTTGAACACTCAGGCTGCCTCTAAAATGGCACAGTATTCCCATAGGGCTCTTGTCAAAAGTAGCGCACTATATACAGAATAGGGTGCCAAAAGTAGTGCAGTATTTAGAGATTATAGGGTGCCATTTCAGACACAGCCTCAATAAACCCTTTAAGGTCAGGGGCAATCTGTGATTGCTACATCTGTTTTTGTACTTTTAAATGTATGATATATACCCATTGATTCTTGAAGACTATAACTTATAAATGCTCATGAGCTTAGTTAAATTATCTTACCCCATTTTATGGTTGCAATATGGTTAAAACTGTCATTTTTATCTCATGGATGGTTAGTCCTTGCATTCATAGCTCTGTCTATGAATTTAAGAGTGGTTAGATTTCTCCAGCATAATCCTTCAGCTATTTACCAATTCAGTGTTTGGGTGAGGCTTTGTTATTGTTTGAACTGCAGATTGCCCCTTTAAGGTCTGAGAATGGCCCTCTGAAATGCTAATCGCTAATGCTTATTCTGTATGCTGTCTGTCTGCAGGTGAATATGATGACAGATCTGGAGGGTAGCGACATGCTCGCGGAGAAGGCAGACAGGAGAGAGTTCATCGACTTGTTGACCAAGATGCTGACAATCGACGCGGACAAAAGGATCACCCCCATCGAAACCCTCAATCACCCCTTCATAACCATGACCCACCTCCTCCCCCACAGTACACAGTACGTCTATTCTAGAGATTCCACCCCATATCTCATGGAGATAGTTAGATAGGTAAAAGATAACTGGGCAAAATCACAATGAGGCAGTCTCATACTCACCTCTCTCCCTCCCTCTCTCTCACTCCAGTGTCAAGTCCTGCTTCCAGAACATGGACATCTGTAAGCGTCGTGTGGGCATGTACGACACGGTCAACCAGAGCAAGACCCCCTTCATCACCCACGTGGCCCCCAGCACCTCCACCAACCTCACCATGACCTTCAACAACCAGCTCAACACTGTGCACAGCCAGGTACCTACTGTACACAGTGTGGATGATTTTACTTAACATACTCATCACCATTCATACACAGGACGTACAATCAGCTACTGTTGGGGGTGACCAGCACTAACCATAACCAGGACATGTAACAAGCTAATACAGTACTAGAGACAGATCAGTACGTAGCGTATGCACCACTACCAGTGTGTAATACATCCTGCAAAAAATTATGTGTAATTAGGAAGTCCCCGGGATGCCACGAAATGGTCGCTTAAAGTCATCAGTACATTGTGTCACGTCCCCTGGAGGTTTTGTCTACTTCCCAGTTGGTCCCGGGGATGTCCCAGAGGACATTCTTTGGGACATTCTGTCATGGTCCCCTGGAGGTTTTGTCTACTTCCCAGTTGGTCCCGGGGATGTCCCAGAGGACATTCTTTGGGACGTTCTGTCATGGTCCCCTGGAGGTTTTGTCTAGTCCCCAGTCTGTCTCTTTTTGTCTGTGTGCTTTTCTCCTGTAAACTGCAAGATTAACTTCAAGCAAACCATTAGGAAATGTAGCTGGCGACATTCTTTCTATGATAAACATTAGAAATATGATGGCCATGCATTATTTTTGCAAAAAAGACGTGGTAAGCTAATTTACTTATGTGTGGCTGCTAGCCAAATAGCGTTACACTTTTCTGATGAAAATTAAGCTATTTTTGCCGAATGTGTTGCACTGATGTATTTTGAGTGAAGGAAAAATATAGTTTCACGCCACTGATCACTACTGAAGAAAAAAAAAACACTATTGACTTTCAATATAAAACGCAGGTTGAATGGTTTATAATGCAGATTTTAGTAAAATAAAAGTCCTGAGAATGTCCTAAAAAGGTCCTGACATGGTCCTCAGTGACGTCATGGGAACTTACAGGGAACTAGACAAAAGGTTCCCCAAAGAATGTTCCCTTGGGACCATCACGCTACGTCCTAAGGACTAGTAAAATGGACGTCCTGAGAACGTCCTTATAAGGTCCTGACATGGTCCTCAGTGACGCCAGAGGGGTAACGTTGCGCCGAAACCCTTAATGTACCTAATGGGAACGTCACCTAATGTCCTCAGGACGTCCCCTGTTTTCTGGGCAACCACTAGATTACTTGGTTAGTGTGTTTTTTCAGGCTAACACTTTACACAGCACAGTACGCACAATCAGCCCACCACTTTATTTGAAAGCAATGCATTGACCACTTGCAAGAAAACACTCCCTATAGTAGAATGCTAAAGGAGCCTATTAAGGCCAAGACAGCCAAGCTAGGTGTCTGTCTGTGCCTAAGGCCCATTGGGGACTGTCACAAACTGCTGAAGAGATACATGACAAACTTACACTTCCTGCTTGGCTTGCAGTTTAGTGCTTTTCAGGCCTTAAAAATCCCACCAGCCGGCTTCCTCCTCTTCCTCCTCTCCTCCTCCTGTTTCTCTCAATTTTTCCTTTGGTTCTTCAGCACTTCAGGCTTTGTGGGCTGTATGTGACTCTAAACTGCTGACTTTTGCTTCTGCTGGAATCATGAAATGGCTGCATACTTAAGTTTTTCCGATTGTGCTGAATTAGATTTGCAGCTCTCATTTTTCTGGTAAACAGTGTTCTTTATCACCAACAATATTGACAGGCACAGAACCCACTCTGTGCAGAACGAGGTCAAACCTAGACTGCGCTGTAATAAATAGCTTAACGTACATTTTTCTACTTCGTCATCAGAGCGACTTGGTTCAGTGTGATATGAGCAGCGCTAAGTAAGTGATTTATTTAGCCAGGGAACATTGAAATGTCTTCGAGTTTTTTATTTGCAGGCTCTCTCATTGTTGTGTATGATGAATTCCACACTTGCATATTGATTAACTTCTCTCCCCCGGTGTTCATCGAGCTCGCTAAGAAGTGCAAAATGAAAAATTAGCGTGCTGTTTCTGAATTCTTAACCACTCAGGCTTAATGAAAAGAGCTAATTAATCCGGGTGTTGTCGAACAAATAGTATTTCAGTTCAGATCTGAGCGCACTGCATGTCTTTAAAAGCATTTGTTCCTATCAAAGCTATCTTTAAGCCTTACTTAGGCCTCATTGATGGTCTCCCCATGTCCAAGGTCGTATTGATTAGGCACCAAACGGAAGAAAACAGACTAAAACAGGGAGGGACTACCTGAACTTGTCCATTAAGAACCCTCGTTTTCCGTTGCAAACTGTTTTGATACGGTATGCCCTAATGAATACGACCCAGGTTTACAACAGTTTACGCAATTAGCAAGTGCCTGACATCTTCGAAATATGGCTGCTCAAGGATAGAGATGTGGAGTCAAGGTAGTGAAGCCGAGAGACTAAATGTCAGTTTGCCCTGCAACTACTCTGCTCATTATTAGACTTTGTTAAGCAACATTACAATTTTAAGAGCATTGCATAAGCCTTGATTCTTTCACTTAGGAATCCAGTTGGCTCTTTCAATGTTGACCCTTCACAGAGATAATTGCGTGTCTTGAGTACTGGGTCCAGGATGATTTGGGTGCGTTGAGACATATTGTTGTGTAGCCAGGGCGAGGACAAAGACACTGAAGGGAGAAAGGATCTGTCATTTGGTCTCGTCTCTATATCACAGTCTCCTTTAACCTGGGTTTTATTCATTAGGCTCACTGTAGCAAAATGTAGCAAAACGTTTTGCAACGGAAAACAAAAACAAGTGTTTCTTATTGGACAAGCTCAGGTAGTCCCTCTTTGTTTCAGTCCAGTTTCATCTGTTTGGTGCCTTATGAATACATCCCAGATCAGAGTGTTTCTGTGTGGTTCCTACAGTGCTTCATTAAAGCCTCTGAGTGTGTATGTACATGTATGTGGATATTTAGTTGTGTACACAATACATTGAGAGAATCTCTATTGACATGCATACTTGTGGCAGCTCTAACAGTATATGTGTATGTATATGTGCAGTATGGACAAATAAGCCTCTGTGGCTCAATGTACTGTTTATGTACAGTAATTACAGCACTATCAAATAATAGGTTGGTGATGGAAGTGATTTGTAACATTGAGTGTTGACTCTTTGGCGAAGGTATTGATCACCAGCATTCTCTCTCTTTCCATCACATACTCTATTTCTCTCTTTCTCTCAGTTCTCTCACTCTATTCACTGAAATGCAGCATGTACAGTACGTTAAAGCTGTAGACATATTCTGAGAAATATCACACTAATATTTATAGTATTCTGAGAGATATTACAAAGCCCTAATTTTGTCCTTTGATGATAGTATCCCCCCCGCCCCCACCAACCTTCATAACCTTTTGACCTTACCACCACCACCCAACATTTCCTCAAGGCTTTTTGTTTCGATCGCATTGTTCCTTTAGGCCACCAACCTGGCTCCCTCCACCACCAGTGCCACCCTTTCCCTTGCCAACCCCGAAGTCTCCATACTAAACTACCAATCTGCACTCTACCAGCCCTCCGCGGCCTCTATGGCTGCCGTGGCCCAAAGGAGCATGCCTCTGCAGCCCGGGGCCCCTCAGCTCTGTGCTGCCCGGCCTGACCCCTTCCAGCAGGCCCTCATCGTCTGTCCACCAGGCTTCCAAGGTAAGAGATTAAACCAACACAGTGTATGCTGGTTAAAAAGGCCACAGTTCTAGAATCAGCTTACTCTATCCCTGATCTTAACCTTAACCATTGGGGGGTGAACAAATATCTGATCCTGTATCAGTGGTTAGGTGTCTGTAATGAGTGATTGTTTGCTGCCATCTTGGAACAGGTTTACTTTGAAAAAACATCAGATAAAAGATTTCAACAGGATTACCTCTATACATAAATGCTAAATGAGTGTATAAAAAATAGCCCCTATAGGCCTTTCTATAGTCAACAGTGCTTGACTTGGGCAGGAGCTCACCGGAGCTGAGTACCGGCACCTCAAATGTTCTACTGCTTGAGCTCCTGTTCGTCTTATAGAATATTAGCTCAAAAGTAAATATAAACAGTACCTGCACCCAAAATGAGTAACGACACCTATTTCAGTCCAAGTCAAGCACTGCCTGTCAAAGGCTCAGTCAGTTTCAGTAGAGTAGATCAGCACTGTCTGGCAACAGGGAGTTTTGTTTTCTCCTGAGGAGAGAAGGGCTTATCAAGCTGTGAGCAGGCACTGCACTACACTGGCTGTGTAGACCTTTTGTTCTGTAACTTCCACTGACCCCCCAAGGCAACGGCAGTCTTCATGTTTAAAAGAGATGCTATGATACATTTATGAGCTAATTAGTCATATAAAAATGCATTTATCTGTGATTTATGTTTTTGCACCACCACTCTGGTCTAACCTCTGTTTGTGAGGTTAAGACTGAAATAAACATTATTTTTGTTTGGTTTCTGTGGAACGGCGGATAAGAATTTCCATTTCCTGTTTGCGGCACTCAACCAACGGTTATACAGATGTAATTTATGTTGCCATTACTACCTTTTTGTTTTCAAGGTGAATCAGTAATTGAGTACAGTATCACTATAAACTAAAAAACTGTTTTAAAATGAGTATTTCTTAATTAACAATTTTGCCATCATTGTTTCTCCCAAGGTGCAGGCCTTTTTGTGTGACACGTAGAGTATTGTTGTTGTTATTGTTGTTGTTGACCTCATCTATGTTGTTGTGTGTGTCCTCAGGGCTGCAGGCCTCCCCGTCCAAACACACAGGCTACTCTGTGCGGATGGAGAACGCCGTTCCCATAGTGACGCAGGCCCCCGGCGCTCAGCCGCTGCAGATCCAGCCAGGCCTGTTGACACAGGTAGGGAGTAGTGACTCAGCCCGTCATCGTGGAGATCAGGGGGCCCACATATAGTCCCTTAATCCCAGCTAACAAGGAACGTAACTGAGACATTTGTAACATTCCCCTTACGTCTTCCAGAGGTACTGAATGTCAAAGCCCATTTGGTACATTATAGGCACATTCATAACATTTCTAATAAGTATTATAGAGGTTATAAATATCAGGTCGCTATACAGACATCATGGGAACATTAAAAACGTTACTTGGTAGTCCATGAAAGGTTCTGAATATCATGTTATTTTGGAGATATCCTAGGAACATTTCATAACGTTACATTTAGAGCTATGGTTTGTCTTCATATGACGTTACAATCGGAATGGTCCTCTGTAGCTCAGCTGATAGAGCACAGCGCTTGTAATGCCAGGGTAGTGGGTTCGATCCCCGGGACCACCCATACACAAAAATGTATGCACGCATGACTGTAAGTCGCTTTGGATAAAAGCGTCTGCTAAATGGTATATTATTATTAAATACATTTTTGAACATCGTCTGTAAGTTTCACTATAACGTTATTATGACTTATGTGGGGACTAAAATAACTTTGTGGTCACGTCCTGGAACTTAATTTTGTTAGCTGGGTTTGCATCTCTGAACTCATAATGATAGCTCATCTTTGTTTCCCTGGTGCACAATACACCGAACCTATTCTATTTATTGGGAGACATGAATGTCTCCCTAAACACACATATGTCTATGGCTAAAAGGGTCTTTTGTATGCTTTTGTTGATGAAAGCTACTTTGGAAATGTTAGGTCGTACCTCTGTATCCTTTACCTATATCAGTGTAACAGGCTAGCCTTTGATCGAGGCAGGGAGTCAGTCTATGTGTTCTTGTGACCATTCTGCACCTGCTGGTAGCTGCTTTGCCTGAGTGAGTTAAATCCCACCCTCCCTTTCTCCTGGAGGCAGAGGCTGCCATGGTTTGATGAACAAGACAGAGAATTAGTTTGTTCGCATTCAGAGTTCTTACTAAAAGCCTTAGCAATGGAGCTGTAGTAGGCTTACCAGCTAATGTACAGTCGTTTGAAAGAACATACATAGCAATGCATTATTCCTACAGTAGACTATAAATTAGTAAAGTAGAGTAGTAGACCACCTCCCCCTCTGGTTTCTGGAAATTTCCATAAGCGCTTTAAAGTCCTAGGGGTAAGAAGGCTTCCCTTATCTCTTGTTAATCAAGCGGTAGCCAGCTAGCGAGGCTCTCTGTGCTGTGTGGAAGACTAATCTGTCAGATACCAAATGATGATTAGCTTTAGGGCTGCTTCCAAGTCAGGCGCTCTGAAATTATTGGCCTCAGAAGAGAGGGACAGATTAAGAAACGCTTGAGGGTTTTGAGGGGTTTGCTCAACTCCAAAAGGCTGCTAAGGTCACCCTATACCCTATAGCATTAACTTAATTTATAGCATGAATTCTGAAAGACTGCCTCAAAAGAAGCTTTCATAAAATATTTCACAGTATATTAAATTCTACAGTACAAAGCATGTGGTTTATACAGACCAGTAGCACATCCAATACGTGGAAGTACTGGATCTAAATCCCTCATTCTCTTTGCTCTGGGAGGTCTCTAGTGGGCGTGGGTGAGTTTAGCCTTCAGGCCTTTCTGCAGCCGCAGCCCACCCTCGGCCCAGGTTGGGATCACTCTCCCTGGGTGTCTGTAGAGCAGAGCTCAGGCTGGGTGGTGGAGCTGTAGAGGAGGGCCCCAGGCAGCCAGCCCAGGCAGCCAGGCAGGACCTTTATCTGGATCAGGAATGCAGAAAATTTGGAAACAATTGGGGAGTGAGAGCCAGGGCTTTCAGAGCCCTGAGGTGACAAAGGTTTTTTTCCTCGGGGAGAAGACGTTGGTGGTGGGAGGTGGGGAACTAGCTAGTACCGCTGCTGCTGGGGTGATGTGCCTGAGAGGAAAATAAAAAGGCCTCTTAACCGGGTTAGGGGTAGACAGGCCGATTACACAACACAGACGCCCGGCGAGAGAGGAATGCAGAGTGCCAGGAATGGAGGGAGCAGGATGGATGAAGAGATAGAGGGAGGAGAGAAGGCGATGGAAGTATTAGTGGCTCTTAATGGGTTCTGGCATGTTGATAAAAAGACTTGAGACGTGAATATAACAATGGGAGATGTAAAGGGAGTCTGTAAGTGGCTTAGGTTGTCTTCTATTGGCCAGTTTTCATGCTTTTCCATTGGCTGTGCCTGTGTCCTTTATCCATCCACAGCCCGGTCATGTTTTGTTGACCGAAAGATGCCTCCCTCCCCCTTCACCCACTGACTGTTTTTGTTTGAAGTTAATCATCTCTCACAACGTACCTCAGACAAAACAATTCCACTCCCACAAACTAGCGGTCATACACTGTTAAACCCTACAATCATTTTTTTACAGTAGAGTATAGCAGTTACATTGTGCCAAGAAATGCAGACAAAACCAGAAGAAAACATCTTGAGATGTATGCTTTGCACTCTGTATGAGCCCAGCCCAGATATAAGCCTAAGCATTGAGTGCTTTGTCCTCAGTGTGTGCTGTGCTGTGTGCTGCAACACATACTGATGCTGCCGAGGTAAATAGAATGTGCAAATGCTATTAAAGGAACAATTCATTAGAACTCCACATTAAAGTGCTAATCAATAGAGCTGCATTAAACTATTAGGGCTGCAGACACACACACACACACTCACATACACACATACACATACACAGCTCCATCTCTGGAAACTCTCTGCATGTTGTACCAGTAATACAAAGCAGCTCCTTTCACAGCAACAATGTGAATATAATTAAAACCGGAACTGATTTGGATAATGCCAAACACTTCAGCACACACACAGGGACCAGGAAGGGAGAGGCAACACATATTTATCAAACATCCAAAGTCTTATCTATGCTCTGTTGATGTGTGCTGTCTGCAAGGCCAGAGAATTCAACTGGCTTTGTTTAACTAGCCAAACACTGGGCAGTTGTTCTGCTTGTATCTGCACCCCATTGGCTGTTTTGTGTTTTTACAGGGATTCCTTATCTTTTGTTACACTTTAGCGCATTCAATTATTTTCTCTTGTTTTCCCTGTTGCTTTAATCTCTGGAATTAAAACAATGGGAGATAAAACAAAACATATTTTTAGGATGTGTTCTTCCTACCTAAGACAGATTATAAACTGGGTGGTTCGAGCCCTGAATGCTGATTGGCTGACAGCCATGGTATATCAGACCGTATACCATGGGTATGACAAAACATTTATTTTTACTGCTCTAATTACGTTGGTAACCAGTTTATAATAGCAATAAGGCACCTCGGGGGTTTGTGATATATGGCCAATATACCACGGCTAAGGGTGTTGCGTCGTGCGTAAGAACAGCCCTTAGCAGTGGTATATTGGCCATATACCACACCTCTGGCCTTATTGCTTAATTATACCTCACATGATTGAAGCGCAGGGTTGTTTAGAGATATGATAGAATATGATAGAATATAGATAGTGTTCTATTTAATTCTGTGGCTGTCCAGAATTCTTCTTCTTCTCCTCCTAACTCTCCCCTCTTTCCCCCTGTCTCCCCCCCAGCAGGCCTGGCCCAGTGGCACCCAGCAGATACTCCTACCCCCGGCCTGGCAGCAGCTTACCCACACCTCGGTCCAGCACGCCACCGTCATCCCAGACTCCATGATGGCCTCACAGCCCCTGGCTAACTGGAGGTAAGGAACATGCCTCCTCCTTATGTAGCACAATGTAAATTGTATAATTTTTGGAAATCCAGTGGGCATCTGAAAAAATGCAAGACACTACCATAACAAATAAATCAATCAAAACCTATAGGACCAGAATAGACATTAAAGATTAGACTTGGTCTCACATACCAGTTGTGTACAGTATAAGCCTGGCATATCTATAAGTGAAGCCAAATGACAAAGGTACAGCAGTTTCATTGTAGCCTGCAATCCTATTTTATATCCTCAATTTCACCACGATGAGACAGAGCGTATCACTTTGGATTCCAGGCTAGTTTCATTGACCAACTGTGTATAAAAGCCTGGTCAACAGCGGAAGTTTGGATGTATACAAAGTGCAGAGAGGATCAGCACAGCAGTGTCCTGATTGACAGAGGAGCAGGGCCTTGTGACAGGCTCTCAAAGGGCTGCTATGAATCACAGTCTATAAGTGAACAACGAGGCTTTTATAAGGGCACATTTACCTCAGGGAGATGAGATGTATGCACATAAAAGGACATCATCCCACGCATGGCGTGTCACATGGATCACATGTTAGATGGATGGTGCCTGCAGGAAGATAAGCAGGATGCAGGTATATGAGTGTGTTTGCGTGCGTGTGGAATTTAGCAGTGCCCGTCTAAGGACAGAGTGGTGGCCAGACACGTCTCTCAATTTCTCTCTATCCCTCCCCCTCTCACAATTAAATTCAATTCAATTTAAGGGCTTTATTGGCATGGGAAACTTATGTTAACATTGCCTCTCTCTCCGCCCACAGCTCCATTGTCCTCACAAAGATGATTGTGAAAGTGTCACACTTCTCTGCAGAGCTATCCCTCTACAGCTTCTGCTGTCAGCTCCCCATGCCCTCCCCTCTCTTCCTCTCTCTTTATCCCTCTCTCTCTTTTCTACCCTCTGTCTCATGCGGTGACTGCTGCCACCCACAGGCTCCTCTGAGAAATACACATGCTTTGTCTAAACTCTAGTCCCTTATATGAAGCAGTGTGTGTGTATGTGCAGTTATAGAGATTAAAGTGGGGCAAGTTCACAATGACGGTGTTTCTCCAGATATAATATTCATATTTAAACTTAAACACATACACATAGAATACAGGTTCAGAGTAGTGATGGGACATTCTGTTGTGTTCCAGGAATTCTCACCAGCACAGCGGCCATTACAATCCCATCATGCAACAGCCGGCACTGCTGACTGGCCACGTCACCCTACCATCCAACCAGAACCAGCCTCTCAATGTGGGCGTGGCCCATGTGATGAGGCAACCGTTGACCAATAACAACAACTCTTCTTCCAAAAAGAACAAGCAGCATCAGATGACTGCCAGGTAAGCACAACTAGGATCTCCTACACAACTAGGACCTCCTACACAGCTAGGATCTCCTACACAACTCGTTTTCTCAACTAGGATCTCTTAAGGTCTGAACACAAAACAGTCAGTGACCGGCCATCACCTGCAGTTGACCGGTGCTTCTGACTTTCAACCTTCAACCAATCAGAACACAAGGTTGCTTTCCCCATGTGAAGACGAAAGAAATGCAAATAATCTGTTGGCTGTTGCCTGGCCAGTGTCTTAAGTATTGTTATTATGTACATACACAGGACCTTTTAATTATGTAAGAAGTATATAGTAGATGCCATCTGCTATTAGGCTGTAGTTGTTGCCAGAGCAACCTAACCTAATAATGGCTCATCCCTCTCTCATCTCTCTCCCGCCAGGAATGTGTCTGCCTACGAGGTGTCCTCCTCCCAGGCTGTACTATCCCCACAGCGCTCCAAGCGGGTGAAGGAGAACACCCCTCCACGCTGTGCTGTGCTCCAGAACAACGGCCCCTCCTCCGGCTCCGGCTGTGGACCCCCCCAGGGCTGCGGAGGGTGGGGAGCGGGCGAAGCAGAGCAGGCCTCCAGCACCACCCAGGACCACCACCAGCACCACAACAGGCCGCGTCAGACCATCATCATCCCTGATACACCCAGCCCCGCCGTCAGTATAATCACCATCAGCAGTGACACGGACGAGGAGGATGATCACAAGCAGAGCAACACCAACCATACCAGGTACAGGTCAGACATTTTGGGTCAGACATGACACACAAGCAGAGCAACACCAACCATACCAGGTACAGGTCAGACATTTTGGGTCAGACATGACACACAAGCAGAGCTCTGGGAGCTAGGGTTTAGTACACAACAGGAGGCCATTTTTAGTGCATGTTTAGTGTCAGTATTGACAGAGTTGGGTTTGATTTCATTTCAGTTCCAGCCAATTCCACCCGGCACAGCCAGAAGTGGACTGGCCACACCTCAGAACCTGGTTCCTCTCTAGGTTTCTTCCTAGGTTCCTGCCTTTCTAGGGAGTTTTTCCTAGCCACCGTGCTTCTACATCTGCATTGCTGCTCTTTGGGGTTTTGGGATGGGTATCTGTATAAGCACTTTGTGACAACTGCTGATGTAAAAAGGGCTTTATAAATGCATTTGATTGATTGATTGAATTCAGTAATAAGATTGGACATGATTGGCATAAGGGAATTTATCATTGAATTGATCTGAATTCACAAGTTATTATGGAATCGACACAAACATTGGTCAGTAGGTTAGCAGGCTGATGAGTACTATATGTAGCATTAAATAGAGTGCATCCTCCTCCTTGCAGCTTGTCCAAGCATAGGAAGAACGTCATCAGCTGTGTCACGGTACACGACTCCCCCGACTCGGACTTGTCCAGTAACAACAGTCCCTACGCTGTAGAGTCCAGGCTGCCCAACAACAACGGCTACCATGACTCCAAGACCACCCTACTGGACAACTACAGCAACGGCAACAACCCTCGCACCATCATCATCCCCCCTCTGAAGAGCCAGTCCAGCGAGGTGCTGAGTGAGTGTGAGCGCCTGATGCCAGGTATCTACACAGATATCTACACAGGTACCTACAGAGATCCACACACCCACGTAGACAAGGAGGGATGGTTGATACTCATCTAGAGTATAGGAAATACTATATATAGATAGTTTTTTATTTTAGTTGAATATGATCATTATTTGAAACAAATTGTTTCAAATGTATCCATTATTATCATTGTCGGTACTCCAGTTGACCCTTCGCTAAGCCCCGCCCCATTGGTTACTGTTGCTACCTCGGTCAACGATTGGTGTTTTGTGTTTGTATACTGTACTCATATGTTATTTTCTTGACCTGGTTTGACCTTTTGATCTTGTACCATTTTATGCTTCAGATGCAATGAATCATCAGAATTCGGCGTACAAGTTCAAAACCTCCAACGGCGTGGGTATGATGTCTGGCAACAACCACCTTTCGGCGGGCATGGCTTACCGACAGCAGCGCTTGGGGCCACACCCCTTCCAGCAGCAGCAGCCTCTCAATCTCAGCCAGGTATGGAGAGAGAGCCAAGTAAGAACCCATCTAAATTATCTCTATCATTTACTGTGTGGAAAGTTTGTCTCTGTGAGACTGGAATTTGGATTTCACTGACTCCATCCTCGTGTCTCTCCCTCTCAAGGCCCAGCAGCACATGGTAGCTGAGAGGAACGGAGGCCACCGGCGCCAGCAGGCTTACATCACCCCCACCATCGCAGCCCAGGCCCCCTACTCCTTCCACCACCACAACAGCCCCTCTCACACTGCCAATGTGCACACCCACCTGGCTACCACCCACCTGCCCGGCCAGCCCCACCTTTATACCTACACCGCTGCGCCCGTCGCCCTGGGCTCCACAGGCACCGTGGCCCACCTGGTGGCAACTCAGGGCTCGGCCCGCCACACGGTCCAGCACGCCACGTACCACACACCGGGCATCGTCCACCAGGTGCCCGTCAGCATGGGGCATGGCGTGCTGCCCTCGCCCACCCTCCACCACAGCCAGTACCAGGCCCAGTTTGCTCACCAGACGTACATCAGCGCCTCGCCTGCCTCCACTGTCTACACTGGATACCCGTTGAGCCCCACCAAGGTGAACCAGTACCCTTACCTCTAGAGCCAAGCCAACACACTGGAGACCCAGACCTCCCCAGACCACAGCACTGCTGATGCTGCTCACCCCATGTCCTCCCTCCCTATCCCCACTCCACGGACAGAGAGATAGAGAGAGAGACATGCATTCTTTATGAAACTGTCACGTTTAACTTGAAGATATAACGACAGAGAGGAAAAGGGAAATAAACTGCCCCTCTAAGGGAAAGGAGGGGTGGATTCTTTCTCCAAAAGGGCCAGTTTTGCTTTGTTTTCTCTCTAGGTGTATTTCTTTTTCTCATTCTTTTACAGCAAGGTCTTCATAACGGGCCTTTGGGAGAGATGGAGGGTTTCTGTTCTTCTAAAACAGCTTTCTGTTTTGTTTTTCTTTCTTGAATTGGGAACTGACTGTTTTAACAAGGGGCCCCTTTCTGGATGTTGGAATTCCCAATGTGAGAATTCCCATGAGAATTCCCGTGAGGAGTTGGGAATGAAGGTGAAATACGGAAACCTGCTGCTCTTCAAAGAAGAAGAAAAATAACGATGGCCTTGAACTGTCTTAAACATTTCCAAATCATTCAATGTGTGGGGGAGAGAGAACAAAGCACCCCTCCGCCCCCACCCCTCCTTCTCCAACAGACAACCGGAGTCAGGAGTCTTCTGGAAATATAACCAACGAAAGACAAAAAAACATTCTAATGTATTTATAGGTATTTTCCCTTAGTTTTTTTGTTCTCACCTTTTTGAGGAGACTTATGTTTTTGGTATACGAGTCTTAGCTGGGCCCTGTTTTTAGAATGTAGCAGTCTGCACCCATATTATTTTATGAAGAGCTTTTTCTGATACCAATAGAATTGATTTGTTTCTCGTTTTTCAATGTGATTTCACAAAGTGGTTAGAATAACATAGGCATGTACAACGTGATTGTCTGTGTGTGCGTGTGCTACTGTCAGCCATGTGTGTGTAGTCCATCTCCTCTTGCACCTTTGTGCTATAATTTTCTGAATCCTCCGCAGTCTTAGGTTTGACCATTGTTCCCTTGTAGTGCCTTACAGATATAACGACACAGTTTATGTCGCTGGAACCTTGAGAACTAACAGACTAGCTGGAACTGGTTCCTTGGTTTGACATGTTATTGTCGGGGCAGTTTTGATTTCTTTTCCAGGTGTAGGCTTATTTCCTAGCTCTGTTTCCTATCCTTATGACAGTATACTACAGAGTTCAGAGGTCAGAGTTCATATTTGCCTGACCTTTGGCTTTTTTGTTAAGTGTGCATGAGTTTAACTTGCTTAGGGTACTGAACCAAAGTCGTTAGATCAATCCTCGTTATGTTGTGTGCTGGATATTAATGTTAATATGTGTACAGTATAGCTGTAAGCCTTTATCACCGTGGGATCCATACATACGATGGCTTAAGTTTGAGATGTGTTACTTTGTTTTTATATCACACAAGGTAATTGGTTCACAGGAATGATAGAACAGAGAAGTATTAGCACAAGGATTCATTTTGGGGTCATGGAAAATGCAGAAATACAAGAATGTGACTGTCAAAAACATTTATGTGATGAGTTCAACATAGGGCGAGGGTGACAGTCCAGAGTTCGACAAAAAATAGGAATCTAAGGTTAAAAGCTAAGCCAGTAGAAAGGCCTGATGGGAAGTTGTGGTTGCTATGGCTGAGATCTTGAGAAGGCCAGTGAGAGAGAGTCTGGTTGGTTGCAGTGAGGAAGCAGAGTATTGAAGGCTGGTGAGATGGGTTGCTTGGTAGGAGTCAGACCTGGGTTGAAATAATATTTGAAATCTTTCAAATACTTTGAACATTTGTTATAGCCTGCCTGGATTGCCAGATGGGCTGGGTTTCCAGTTTAGCAACTATTCCATTGCACCAGGCAAACACAATCAAGCCCAACTAAAGTGTTTGAAATGATTTATAATAGGATTTAAACCCAGGTCTGAGTAAGTGAGGGGCTAGTAGAAAGCATTGGGTTGGTATGGGTAGGAACTGAGGATGGCAGAGTGCTAGGGTGGCATTCCTCATGTTAATGGGACTAAAAGAATAGCATGTTGGCACTGAGCAGGTTGGTAGCAACAGTGAGCCCGGTGGGCAGGAGTTACAGGGGCACTACATGAATGCACACCTAACTCTGATACAAGTTGTTGTGTTGTTGTTGTTGTTGTTGTCTTGCAAAGATAAATGGAAGTTATTTAGTATTTTCTGCTCTGAGGATTGTGTAGCAGCTCTCAGCAGAGAGGGAGAGACGTGAACGGAACAGTGTACACCTGGAAGGTCTTCCTATGAAACGAGCTTCATTTGTTAACACTATCTCCTTTCTGTCTTGGGAATCATGTGTTCACAGACATCACACCACCAGAAAGGGATACCTGATATGTACTAAGAGAACTGATTGGCCTATTGCTTCTATGTGTTTGCTACTTAATTTAACATCCATTTTATTTCTCGTAGCCAATGATATATTAATAATCTCTCTTGTTATACTGTCCTCGTGAAGTGGGCACATCAGAACTGCTTGTGGTTTTAGCAAGAGCCTTCCTCCTTATCCAGTCATATCATGCCATAGTACTTGCATTTGAAGTGATTATTTTACTTTTACGTTACTATTGAACTTTTTTAATGGCTGTAGGTACAGTATATATTGTGTTATTTTACAGATAGTTGCAATCATTCTTCTGGATGTCTTTATCAGTGCAAGTGTTTTTATGATTTATTAGGCTAATTTCTATTTTGATTTGTAACTGGGAGTTGCTGTACATTGATGTTAAGTGTTCCTAGGAGGGTGTGTATACCTGTGTAAAGTGTTCAGGCACCGTTGACAATAATAAGGTTGTAAAGTTGATGATAATCCATTGGGGCCCTTATAGGTACTGTAGGTAATTTAGGCTTGAGTGTGTCAGACCCAGGTTTGCTCCCCAAACCAAACCTAAAACAACAACATCTTGGTGTATAGACACAGTACAGTAGGTATACATTTCTGGTTACATCGTTTTCTTTCTGTTATGTGTTGTACCTTTGTTTGTACGTTTTTTGTTGATTTCCATAAGGCCTGTGGGCCTAAGCACACACATAAGAGAGATGCTTTTCCACACAAGAGTTTGGCTCCTCCATAAAGAGGCAGACTACTGAAACATTCCACTGCAGGGAGAATCCAGAATCCATACTGCACACCCGACAGCCCCTATAGCTCTCTGATCACTTGTCATTTGGGGACTTTTCTTTCTTCCCACCAAAGAAATTCAACATGTTGATGATGTACAGTACAAACACAAACAATCCCCTATGTGGTCTGGCAATAACTTCTGGTCAGAACATGTACCTTTAATGCATTTAAGTGTGCTTTGAGGGCTATTGAGGAGTTCTTAGCAAATGTTTGTTTGTGTGTGAGACGTGCACATATAGTACTGTAGAAAGACATACAGTATGTGCACAACACACACATATGAATGATTAGAGTTGCCACAATATCTGCTTATGGTTGAGCTATTTTGAAGGAGTTTACTGCCAATTGCAGTCCACCATTCTCAAACATCTATGATTTGAAAAATGTTTTATTTGATATCTGTCACTCATTGCCCCCTAAATGTACCAATTGAATCCTATAACTTCTCCGAATTGTTTTATATCAGTGTTTTTTACGTTGTTAAAGTTGTATTTTAGCTTTATTAATGTTGTCAGCAAATGAATAATAAAAAAATAAAAAAAACATGTTATAAGTTAGTGTGCCATGGAATGACCTATAGAGTGAAATGAATAAAAATAATTACCAATAATACCTTTAAAGTAATGGTCCCTAGCACAAAATGAATGTAATATGTGACCTGCTTCATCTGAAATGCTTTAGATATTTCTGCTTGAGCGACCGTTAGTTAAAGTAAATATTTGATTTCTACATTATTTGTTGCCATGCAAGATGCAATAAGTCTGTGATTCCAGCAAAAACAAATTGACTCAACATAAATTCATTAAAAAAAGTCAACATTTGTATTCCGATATGGGTTTTTCAAATATGAGGTATTCGATTTCATTCTATTTTTTTCCTGTATAATCTAGCCCTTTGAACCCTACACTCAATTTTTTTCAATGGACTTGCTATATTTTGAATGCGATAACATTTATTTTAATGTGTAAAATATGTTAGTATCGTACTATTTTGTTTAACATGTGTTATGTGTTTTTTTAAGGAAAATAAGAATCCGAAATGTGAGCATCAACATAGATCCAGTGACCTTACAATTACCAAAATGTGCTTCTTTAGAGTGTCAAGAAATTATTGTGGTAATGAAGTTGGTTTACTTTTGAACATTGTCTCTCCCCTGCTACAGTAGCCATTTCAATGTTAGAATACTGCCTTCCAAATAACTTAACGATACCCTCAGAGCTTTAATATGTGGTTTCAATTAAAGAGAGCTGTGTAAAGCGGCCTCTTTGTGAAGCCTGTTATTTTTACGGCTTTGTTCTTGAAATACTCAAGCTACACAAGAAGTGTTCAGCTTCAAACTTTTCCCACAGTGTGTTTGCGAGTACTCTTCCTGGAGCTTTGTTTGAAATATTGTGAAACATTCCTGAAGGCATGGCACACATTGCCAGTTAGTCTTCTCAGGCCAAACCCATCTGAAATGACTTGAATCATTTTAACACCTTACTAGAAGAGAATAACAATCTTACAACCTCTCCACCCCTTTGAAAAATTTTGCAATCATTTCATGAGAGCTTTGCATAGCACATTCTCCCAAAGAAGCAGGGAGGTGGGAAAAGTACTTGTTTTAGGATGATTTATGTTATATATGTGACAGAAACTCCATAAACCAGTAATAACACATTCTTAAAGCCCTTCTGTAGTAGAGTTGTTCTGTATGTGTTTGTATGTTTGTCAAGGGAATCACCTCCTTCATTGTTTTTTTCTTTGGGGATTCAGGCTGAATTGGATAAGGGTTTGATGCTGTCAGTAATGGAATATGTCAAGTGTTGTTATCATTTGGCCCGTTTTTGTACACATGTACTTAAGAACCAAAATGTATTTTATGATCATTTTTTTCTTTTCTCAACTCTTGCTAAAGACATGTTAGAGGTCTCTTTTTTGATTATGCACTAACAGTTTGAAACAATTTGGTTTAAAAGTTTATTCTTTAGCTATTTCTTTCCAGCTCAAATTGGAAATGAGCATTGTAGTAATGTCCTTGAGAGGAAGGGTTCTTGCCTAATGAATTCCCATAGACAAAGCCCAACACAAACCTTCACAGATGACAGAGGGACGAGATGAGATTTAGCAGTAAACCGCTGTAACTGTCATAATGTAGCCATTTTGCAGTCCTCTTGATCGTGATTTAGATTTTGTACTTGCACAACAGCATTCACAAAGTCTGAAGACCTAAAAAAGCATCAAACCCTGACCCCGTTGTGTGTCCATTGTTGTATGGTTTGTTAATGATGTTAAAATCTCATAAGTTGTTATTCAGGCTATTGTGTGCTGCAGTATTTCCTAGTATACTTCTTTGCTAATTGTCTCTCATTTACGTTTATTGGGGATTTTTTGAGAAGTGTTTGTTGTCTCCTTATTTCAATCTGTTAATGTAGTGTTATATGTACCCTATTCCTTAGACTAATATTACTGAGTATGTTATGAGAATGGATATTTTACTGGCTTTATAGAATGTTTAAATATAATAATGAGAATAAGAAGAATGACTAATTAAACTCCTAACAAGTTGAGTAATTGGCTATTAAGCGCTTGTGTTACCATTAAGATGTTGTGTGCTTCTCTTAATCATTTTCGTTGTAGAAAAATTGAGTGAATTTATAATAGGCTTCGAAAAACTAATGATAGCATTGTACATTTACAGGAGGATTTTAACCGACAACTTGGTCATAGAAAAAAATAATTATTTTAATTGTCCTCTTTACTAACTGTAGGGTGAGAAGGGGCTTGCGTTGTGGTGAACTATGTTATAGCTTGTTATTCACTGTTACTTTTGATCATTTTTTCGGTCTCCGAGGTGAATCGAGTTATTAATGAGAATTTGTATGCTCACATATGCATATTGTATATGTGTAGAAATGTAATCACACTTTGTCTTGGATTTACATTAAACTGTTAAGTCACGGCACCAGTCTCCTGTGTCATACAATGATCATTATTTGTATCTGTCGTGTGTGTGTGTGTGTGTGTGTGTGTGTGTGTGTGCGTGTGTGTGTGTGCATGGGTGTGCGTGCGTGCGTGTGTGTTATACACTGCGGGGTGCATTGGTGGTGGTGTGTGTGGGGGGTTGTGAAGAAATTAAATGCAATAGGGATATTCCACATAAATAGGAAAGGGATATTCCACATAATAGTAAAGAGATATTCCACATAAATAATACTTTTCATAAAATGTTTATACACATTTGCTATTGCAGTGAGAAATACAGTTTATCAATTTGGCAAATTGATGGATGGTTTTGACAGACAAAAGGATGCACCTGACGTAACCTGAAAGACACTTCACTGAATGAGAAGTCCAATGAGTTGATGGTTGATGTTTCACTGCAATTGGAGTAAAATACATAAATGAATCACCAATTTCAGCCATCGATCTATTTTGAGCCAAATGTCTCTGTATTTTTTAAAACTAGTTCAGTGAGTGCAATGAACTTTACCCTAGAAACCCTATTACCCTAGCCTAGAAAATATATAACTAGCTCAGTAGATTACTTCAGTATCAGAGGTACAGTAGCCAGACTGAGCTCAAGTTTCAAATCCATCCTTGATGTAAATGTTCTACTGAACATTGTATGCCACTAGATGGCAATGATGAA